ATCTTTAAACAATTGTTCCCATCCCCAGAACGCATCGTCTTTGTGATGAAAAATTTCCAAGATATGAAAAGGAATCTTTTCAATATCAGCCTTGAAATTCGCTGCATTAAAATTTTTAAAGTTTCTGGTGCGAATAATCTTCGGCGGTGGTCTTTTGCTGCCCAATTTAAGCGTTGCATACACTAGGCAATGGTCGGATATACCTAGTGGCATTACTCCTGTGCATCGCACAACATCCACCTTGGTGGTAACAATAAGATCAATCAGTGACTTTGTGGTATAAGTTATGCGGGTTGGTTCAGCAATAACATTTTGCATATTAAAATCTTCAAAAAGCCTCAGCAAATTCTTTGTCTTAGATGTAATTAAGGTGGAGCCAGAAATGTTTTGGGCTTCCAACATGCAGCAGTTTAAGTCACCAAGGACGAAAATACTGTCTGTTTTCAACCAGGCTTTCTCAAGAACGCCGTGAAAGTTTTCAAAGAAGTTCGGAGTTTCGAGTTCAGATCGGTAAACAACTGAGAATAAAGTAGTGTGGGCAGGGAATTTCACCTGTATCCATACGGCCTCAATATCTCTGACTAATAAATCTTTACGGTGTACAGCCGTTAGATGTTCAGCATAGTACAGGGCAACACCTCCTCCTTTGCATTTAGTTCTGTCACGTCGGATAAGTTGGAGACCGTCTATTTGCAAGAAGTTATCAGGAACAGAAGAGTCCAGATGGGTCTCAGAAATTCCCAAAATGTCAAATCCACATATCCTCTGCAGGAGTCTTAATTCGTCTATCTTATATCGAAGGCTACAAATGTTCAAGTGTGCAACTCTTAGATCTTTGAATGAATAGTTCAAGATCCTTGAGAGGTTCTCAAGGTAATCTTAGAGTCGAAAATCTCCCGGATAATCGCCAAAATTGCTATTTCTTGTGGACTCAACTTTCCGACCATAAAATTTTATATATTTTGCGTTGTTTGAGCTACTTTGGGAACATTTCCCCATAAATTCTGGTATGCCACTGTAATTTAAGCAATAATGTGGCTAAATACGAACTGTTTATGTGCTATATACGTCGATCGGAATCAACAAGCATTTTTGGCACAAATGACGTCATTTGCCGTGTGATGTGACGTCATCTATCATTTTTTGTTCCCTATCAATTCTCAATATTTGATGACGTGGGGAGTTGACAGCCCTGCCAAGGACTGAATAGCATCCATGAGGATTTTAATGTACAATTTTCTCTTAGAGTATTCCGTTCCCTACACAACAACACTGTCAAGATGTCAGAAGAAGTGGTTCTGTTCATGTTTTATACCTTCTTTATGGATGCTAAAGTTGCAAATTTATCAGAAGTCAAGTTATACGTATCATGATTTAATGAATTAGTTATTAACTATTTATTATAATAGTGATTTCTGCTGTTATTTACTTGTCAGATCCATATAAGGGGCTATTGAGGTAATGATAAAATTCACATTGAAATTTACTCAGATAGCATGAGGGCTGAATATAAAGTTCAGTAGAAATGGCTCTGATAATGTTTTGTACCTTTTATAGATCTTGAGATTGCAAATTTATTCAAAGTCAAGTTAAATATAATCATGATTTAATGAATTATGCAGTGTTCACATGTGCACGAAACATGTTTAGTCTGAACACGAATGAAACATGTTTCACTGTGAAACTTGTTCACACTACGTAGGTAGTGCATTGCGTGGAACATGATCAAAACTTGTTTAGTCCGATCATGATTGAAACTGCCTCACGAGGTAGTTTCGATCATGATCAGACTAAAGTGGTGAGGAGGGAAGTCGAAATAACGTAAACTGGTACCACAAGGAAACAAAATTTTTGGTACAAATATAGCACTGATGAAGAAATTCATCATCAGATATCTGCCATGGACCGAAAGCAAAATCTTTGGGACAATTTTTCCCAAAAACTTCGGGCAAATAGTTTCCAGCACACTGGTGCCGTGAAAATGCATACATCATGCAAAAAAGGATGAAACGTGTTTGAAACGAACAAATTAATGATGTGAACAAACATGTTTATCAGAAACGTGTTTCAAGTAAACTTGTTTACTCTAAACATGTTTCATGCAGATGTGAACACAGCATTAGTTATTTACTATTTATTAGTCAGAATGTATTACTACTGATATTGATTTGTTAAAAATTAACAGTTTTTGATCATAATAATTTCTTGATTTTAAGGAAAGTTGTAATTTTTTTTAGCTATTGTCAAGAGAAAATGTATTGTAAATATTATCTTACAGCTGCATTTAAGTTTGTTTACCAATAAACAGGATAATTCTCACTGTTAATTTGTTTAATTTGATTCGTTTTAAAGTTATAAAGTTGGTTCTCAAAGTGACTTGAGCATGGTTTCTTAATTTGATGATAAATAAATTCAAGTTCAACTCAGAGTTAGGTAACTGGTCAAAACTACTTTTAATTACTGCCTTGGGACCCAGTTTTTGGGGGGTGGGGGCAAGGAAGTGACCTTGTGCCTGGGTCTCCGAGGATAGTGCTATGTCTGAGCAGCAGAGGAGAGGTGTGAAGGAAAGGTTGGGCCACAGGGGTGGGCCTGGACAAGAGACCATGTATTTCGGCATCCACGTGGGTGGTGGGGCATCTTCCTCTTACGGGGGATGGGAAGGAGAAGTAATGGAAACCACGGGTCTTAAAAGAGGGATGGGGCAATGTGGGAAGTCAACTTAATCCATTCTGGTGGGTCCTGAGAGTGCATTATAGTTTTAGCTAGTTTCCTAACAGTTCCCCCTTTTTTAGACTAAGCTGAGACTCGAGTGGCCAAGAAAATTTATTTGAGACCAAGGACCCACCACCGGTCCCCCACCTAAAATCGCGATTTTAGGTGGGGGACCGGCGGTGGGTCCTTGGTCTGGATCCACCACTGATATATACATTTTAAGTGACTAAAACAATATTTTCTTAGAATGATTCAAAATTAATGAGCTTCATCTATGCCCATAGTTTGACGGATATTATCGCCATATTGATTTATTACGTGACGTTTAATACAACAACGAGTTTATGGAAAAGACAAAATGGCTGGTGAAAGGTAAGTGAAGCTGACTGATTTTATTTTTCTTTTTAAGATCTGAGTTGTTTTTTTTATGATCCAAGTTGATCCGAGTCCAATTTTATTTTATTTTTACTTTTTTTATTTGATCCGAGTTGGTCCGAGTCGATCTGAGTTGATCCAACCCAGACTGGCGGTCCGGGTTGATCTGGTACGACTTTTGTACTTACCTCATTTGAATGAGATGTCATACATGCTCCACTTTTTATAATTCACCTCTTTCACACTTTCTGTCCAGGTATTAAGCTTTGAGATGTTGCATGACACTTTTTTAGGCTTTCAATATTTTAATTCTGGTGACCATATCAAAACTGTAGGTTCCCAAAAAGTTAAGCTCAGACTAGCACTGACAGGGCCTAGGTCTATTAATACTCACAATAATTAACTCAAAAAGTGTTCCCTGGTCGACTTTGAGGAATTCTTGATCCCAAGGATCAATGTCATCTGTTCTTTTCTCTTTGTTTTCATCATCATCTGGTGGTGGTGGGTCATCCTTGTGTTTCTCAGCCCACTTGATCACCTATAAAATAACAAGGGCTACCACTGTGACTAATCCTTACTTGAACAGTACAGGGCAAGATGAAAATTAGGGAGCTAATAAGCAAAGGCATTTTTGAGCCACATAAGTCAACCAGAAGAATTAAGGCTGTTTTCCTTTGATGGTAACACTCTTATGGAACCAATTTGCCCAAAACTTTAGGCAAAATCACGGCCTAAGTACTTTACCATGGTGCTATTTATTTGGTAAAATTCAGGACTTGAAGTAATGACCAGTCAATAACAGACAATGTCCAGACTGATTGGGGAGTTGATGGGTCAACCGTTCATCTTGCCGATCATGTTGACCGGTCACATTCAACGAATGGATATTGAAAGTGAAGTAAATTAAAATTTCCATGCTGTTCAGTTGTTATCAGTGTGTACTGCAGAACTTTGATCTGAAATCCTGGGTGGTGCAACTAGAACCATTGTTTACAATTCGTGCATTGAAGCAACATAGGGGTTCATACACTTCCAGTCATAAAATTAAAATATTTTCACTTTTATTGGTTAATTTTCAAGTTTTGCATTTCTCCCTGCATATAAAGTAATTCCTCAGCCCAGAATAAAATATAATCAAAGTATAATGCATTAAAGGAACTATACTTTATAAAACCAATAATTATTCCACTCTTCACGAGTTTATCTATGTGTTTTTCTGTAGTATGCGTAATATAAAGTATACAAGGTTATACAATGATAAACATCCATGAAATGTACGAACATTTTAACGTTTGCATGCTACATGTTTTATTGGCCTATAGAGATACCACGAAATGAAAAACATTCAAACAAAAACTGGTTGTGATTGTCATGGAATGCACGTGTTACAGAAAAAAACAACTTCTCTAAAGATGGGCAAGTTAAATTAAAGCCACATGTGCCCACGCATCATGTCATGAGAACCCTTGTAATGGGGAGAAACATGGATTACTGGCGGAGTATCTCACACCATGATACAAACACCAGCTGTTATATTTGTAGGCGCTGGACAAATCTGATGGGTATGATTTATATTTAACATGTTACGGGTTAGTCTGATAGACAGAGTACCTACAAAATACACTTAAGCTTATTTTCATTTTGCTGCTGTAATTTATTTTTATTGTTGACAATGAGTGCCTTGAAGTGCCATAAGCTCCGCGCAACGACTTTTTTGAAAATATATAATGCCAGTTTTGGTTCATGGGCCCCTGTTTTAAGACTTATTTATCTTATAAATTCGACCGCCCAGAAACGATAGGTGACCGAGCTAAAATAAATTTGGCTGGTTATCATCTCCGGAGACGTACTCTTCAGAAATTACTTTGAGCCCTGGTATATAGTTCTACCTCTTAAGCAGTACTTTCAAACGGTATCATTTATTTAGCATAGTTCTGAATTTGAGTCTGTGGATGAAATCCTGTGTAACCATTCAAGCAAATGACACAGGCTTCATATAAAAAGATTACAGATTTACAGATTTTATTGTTTTCGCACCATTTACATAATTATTGTTTACATTGAAATTTTAATTTGTATAAGTACCTTACAGAACAATGTCAGAAATAAAGATAACAAGAAATTAAAGGATTAAGATGTGCGCAGTGACCAAAGTACCTAATGCTTCGGGTTGGTCACTGCCACGTTAAGCTAGCTGGCATAGACAATAAGCGTAGTGAAAAATAATTATACAAAGAGAGAAAAGGTGCTTAAGTAACAATATTGATGTGTATTAAACAAAAAATTAAAAACAGGCCATCTGATAGGGTGTGATAAAAAATCAGAAATTGTGCTATATTTTCAGGGTAGATTGTGCGATAAGATAGGACTATTATGCGATTTTTTCAGGGCTAATTTACATTGTTTTACCAGGTTTCAAAGGAAAAAAAACCACTCTAATGTTGTTTAACAGGCAATTTGAATGTAAAGGAATAATAAAACATCTATTTTAATACAAAATAGTTAAATTTGTCCAATTATTTTGACCTGGAAAAGAAAAAGGACACTTGTTTAATATTACAGGATGCTGTTACACCGCTGACCACACTGCTTGTCTCTGAAATCAAAATGGCTGCCCAGATACCACGATCGAAGGTTTCAGATGTCTTACAAGGCCTTCTTTAGTAGTAAATCACCTTAAATAACATTAAGATCGGGAAAATGTTTAATTAAATTTAGACTTCATTGTTAACTTTACTTGAATTTAGCATTTTTTTTCAAGAATTAGGCCATTTTCCTCAAATTCTGCGATCGGATGCAATTTGAGGTGCAAAATCGCACCATTGCGTAATTTATCAGATGGCCTGTAAAGAGAAAAGAAAACAGACAAAGGCTGAATCTATGATACACTACTGTATTTACCTTGGCAAGAATGGCCGCATTGACATAGGGAAGTTGGACTGGTTCATCATCATCTTTACCCATGCCAAGATCTATAAATTAAAGCATGGTACTATGGGTTAAACCATTAGAATGAAGACCTAAAGGTTGAGTAAACTGCCTTCATTTTAATCTCAAAATATTAGCTTTCTGTGGCATCATTTTTTCCCTTAAGCATAGTCTTGTACAACAATTTTCGATGGACTCTCTAAGATTGACACTGTCAAAAAAGGAGCACCTTGAGATGATCTTGACTGTTGTTCAGTCAAGTTTTTACAATTTCTAAAAAGAAAATGAAACCAACTCTAAAATAAACTCGCAACTGTCCATCATAATTCACTGTACATAGCCAGCAATTTTTATGCACGTCAAACTGGGACGTCATTTGCTCATGCACTTACTTGAGTTGTTGTATAGAGGGAAGGCCCCCTTAAAGTAACGAAAGCCATTTCTATTTTCAAAAAAACTAAAAAAATGTCCTGATGCCTTGTACCTATTTATAATAACACAGACAACATTTTCTCCAATATTTCTGTAGATATGAAACTGTGTAATAACTATTGCTGAATACAATGTTATCTAAATGCAGAGATGTGATGATCATCTCTGCATTTATTTCTTCACCCTGCAGTTCAAGTATATGAAATTCATATATTCATCATTTCACGATGTTATGTGTAATCACAAAAAGGGCTTCTCCTTTGAACTCACCTTCAGCCATAGGACCTAAAATGGCAGAGGTTTTTGCTGCTTCTACATCAACTTCAAAAATTTCTCCATCTGAGCTTTGTAGTTTAATGTATGGCATCTGAACCAATAAAAAACACAAACCGTCAAAATATTAGACAAAACAAGGGACCTAGAATGTAGCCCAAGTTACTCCCTTCCTTGCTAAGCATTTTACTTATGTAGTGAAGCATTTTGCTCTTTCTGTATGGCCAGGTTGTAGAAGGCATGGGCACAATAACCCAAGGTGAGCACAATATTTCAGGGGCAGATCCAGAAAATTTAGAAAGAGCTAACTGGGAGACTTGCCAGTTACAATACCATTAAAATAATAATAAATAAAATTTTTATTTATTGGGTAAAGGACTCTGGCAGCTGGTCAAAAATTAAGGCTCTAGAGGACACAATTTACTGAACTAAGTGACATGACTTAATTAAGTATGTTAAAACTGCCCATAAGTGAACTCCAATAAAGCTACACTTTCATAAGGGGAGTGGTCACTTACAAGAGGTTCCTGAGTGAGGGCTCCAACACCTCGCAAATAGCCTGAATTCTGGCAGTGTAAGTGTTGTGGTCTCATTTCCTCAGAGACCCTTCAAGCTAATCCAGCAAGGCTGACCAGACACATGCTGGAAGAATGGACTGCCAAAACTAGGACTATGTCCCCTACTATATATGAACAAAATTTGTCATCTTAAAATGTCCGACAGATTTTGAATGAGCAATGGTTGTGAGACCAAACCTGTTGTTCATTGTCCTTATCAAAAGGGAGTTGACTGTATGGTAAAATATGAGCTCTCGAGACACTTACAAAGGCTACAAAAGCAGACATATATGTTGCTTTAAGTAACCGAGCCCCCATTTTAAATCAATAAACACCAGTTGCAGTGATTGTTATTAACAGAGATCTCTTAAAAGTAGTTGAGATACTAATGGACACATAAAATAAATGTCAATTTCTTTGTGACACTTTTATCCCTTTAAGCTGGTTAAAATTAACTGTTTACGGAAGTTTGCGAAAAAAAAAAAAGCGATGCACAGCAGACAGTAAAATGAACGTTAAGAGGACATAAAGGACAATATGCAATACCTTACTGATCCAAGTTTGCTTTTGTGTCTTTTTGAAGACAGTGACAGAGCTAAATGAAGAAAACCCGACGCGAAAAATTCGTTCTCTATCTATTTGCATCAACTTCGAAACAGACCAAGCAGAAACTGTACGAGGGAAACTGGTAACAGCGACGTTTTGTTGTGCTTACATGAAGGATAGGACGATGACAACAAGAAACTGATGACACACGCAAAACTGGAAACGTGGGTAGAAACGTGTAGTCTGTCTCATAACAAAGAATGAAAAGTTAATTTTCCTTACTTACTGGCTATGGATTTTCTTTTGCAACATTTTAGAAGGTTATTTTCGTTCTTGTGCGGAAATTCTGACAATGTGCGCCCGAAGGTAAGCCTGTAAGGTTTAATTGAGTCTTGAGTTTAAAAGCTGCGAAAATCCTAATTTTCATTTTATAAATGACAGCAGATACTATCGATGAAGATGGAACTGTCGTTAGACGACAGACGTAAGCAACTGTGGAGATTCAGTAGAATCTCTGCCTGCAAAATCCTACCATAAATGTAGATGAACACTAAATTTTACCATTAAGCAAATACACTTCCTCGTCCACCCAAAGAAGTCGACCCAAACAAGTGACAAATTTAACCTTACAACAAAAGGATTGTGTTAGATGGGATCCAGGTCGATAACAATCAAAATATTATGATAATTAAAAGGCTTGCCAATAAAAGTACTTATATTGATCAGAGAATGCACGTTTGATGAGTTATGATGCATGGGTCATCCCTGTACTTTGTGGAGTGTAGCTTCCAGCTTAATCTGCAACTGATTACCACTACTGTGGTGCTGTACCTGGGATACTGCTCCATCCTATGGGAGCATACACTGCTAACAACAAGAGCATGCCATTAGTCAACTTTACAAGCATGCTTTTTTCATTTTTAAAAGAACAAAGTTTATCTGTAGTTTGACCAAAGCCACTTGCTCTTATCTCCATGCACCACTTTACCTGGGGGGGGGGGGGGGTACTGGCATATATGAGCTATATAGGTATGTGCCACTGTGAAGGGTATGACTTTCAAGCAGTTTACTCTGGGGTATGGTATATATATATATATCAGAGAGTTTGGGTCTAGAATAGGGTATCATTTTCCAGAAAACTGATCAGTTGGTTGAAGATTTCAGTCTAGACCAGGGAAACCAGGAAATGCTACTCAAAAATGTAAAAAAAAATCAGTTTTGTTTTAGTTGGACTGTAGTTTCTGCAAAACAGCTACTCTAGGATAGAGAGGAATGGGGGAATTTATTCTAGTATAGGGTAGAAAAATCCACTTGAACTATAGCTCTGGTTTAAGCTAAGGGTTCCAGGGTAACTGCGGCACATGCCAACCCAAAACTTCCTAAATCCCCCGGGCACTTAACGTCAGAACAATATAAAGTGGGTACAGTCATGCCATTCAAGGACATCATGTGGTAAAACCTATATTAATAATTGCCACCTCTTTAAGTTTATAATAATAAACAGTTGATGTTTTTGTCCTAGTGGCAGACAGTCCGTAAATTAAAAAAAAGTTATTAAAAGAAAGTGAATAACATACAAATTAAGGTAATCTGCTTCTGTACCTTACTTGCTTGTTCTGAACTTTTCCATTCTGAAGTTTTATCTGTTTATTTGTTATTATATAGAAGCCACTGGATCCAGATAATACAACCAGAATTATACCGTTGCCCTTGCAGAAGCCTAGCCTGCATTGCAAACTCTCCATTTGGGGAATATTGTAAGTAAGTCATGTGGGAGCAGCACTCAAAAAAAGACACCAGAACAAAGGGCTCCCTTTCTCTACCTTTCATGGCTCTGCAGCTCTCATGCAGTCATTCTCTTGCTGATCGATTGCCACTCAAAACTTAATGGAGAGCTTGCTTACAGGCTAATGGGTGATCAGTTTTAGTGACCGAGTTTCACTGTATGCTGTATGTTTAATCCATTATTTCTCAATAGCATTCTTGTTAATCTTTTCTAGATTTGTCTTTCTGATGCTGATGTTTCATCTGCAGAGGAAGCAAATATGATATTGCAAACCCACAGCAACCCTCACCAAGTTGAGGAATTTATTCTTGAAGGTATGTATATTTTATAAAGCTTTGTTTTGTCAGTGCATTTATTTGAATAAATTGCCTTCACATCAATGTACTATTATAGAGTTCCCAATCCCCATCCACCTATAGATTTGTCCTGTCCATGTATTTTAGGGTCCCAGAGCCACAAAATATCATGCAAATAAAAACAATAACAATAACAACAACTTGACGTCTTTACAATTTTGTGCTCTGCTAGTTATTTAATTTCACTAAAAGTAATGACCCCAAGATACCATGCAAAATGAAAATTTTAAATCAACTAATAACTGACAAAAAAACAAGGTCTTTATAACAAGAGTGTATGAAAAGCCACATGAATACTCATCAAAGTGATAGCTATAGTAATTCACAGGCTTACAATTGCAAGAAGCAATAATTATTTTCAACCAAACTGTTTTTTCTCTGCAAGGAAAGCCAAGCATACACAGTATTCCTATCCAACTGTTTTACTTCACAAATTTGCAAAGGCTCAGTCTGTGTGGTAATCAACTGCAAGACATTCCATGGTCTATTATTTACCTGCGGCAACTCAAGGAGCTCGATGTTTCCTTCAATGCTTTGGTAGGTGCTGGTTTTATACAATTTTGAGATTGTTTTATTCATCCTATACCAGGGCTGTCAACCCCCCACGTCTTCAGATATTGAGAATTGATGGGGAAGGGAGGATAGATGACGTCATAATGCACGGCACTTGACGTCATTTATGACAAAAAAAAACTGTGAAAAAGATGTTGTTGGAATTGTAAAATTTGACCTAATTGATTTACTTCCCACCAATCACATCATTGCTTATATTACAATGGCATACTGGAGTTTGTGAGGAAAATTAAGGTCGATGTTAACAGTTAAATAGCTCAAATAAGGAAAAATGTGTGAAATTTCATTGTCAGAAAGTCGAAACTACAAGAAATGGCAAACTTCGGAGATTATCCAGGAGATTTCAGACTCTAATCTGGAGACCGGGAGAAACAGTTCAAAATCTGGTGTCTCCCAGATTATCCGGGAGAGTAATTGACAGTCCTGCTATTAACAATGTTATTAATTCACCAGCTGATCACGTGTGGCTTGATATTGGCCAAAAATTAAGATATTATCTGTACCACATTGCTGTAAGTGTATAATAGGCTCATTTATTACTTATTTCATAATAGTAAGTTACTTTTGGGAAATTCTTTTTGCTTAAATGTGGAAAAGGCCAAGGCTTAATTCAAATGTAAATGAAATACTATATACAATTTTGTGTCAACACTTACAAGCACGTACTGTTATTGGTTACGGTACTTGTTAACCACCTTTTAAAAGTTCCTGGAAATTCAAGCACACAGTTAATTTGTGTTCTCAAAGAACTGTCCATCCACCTGTTAAAAATTGATCATTAATTCTTGTTGTTTTTTTGTACATTAGCATGTTCATATTTCTTTGGCTAAATAATTGTCCATTTAGTCTATGTAAAAAAAGTATTTTCAATTATATTCTATGTGTTTATGTTACTCTTTAACTGCTTATTCACTATGAGCTGTTAGCTATTATTGTTTCCCTTTATTATTTTATTTATCAATTTTTTATTTTATTAGAGTGTTCTTCCAAGAATTGTGTGCTATGTTCCAACCTTGCAAGTTTTATCATTTCGGTAAGAAGACCAAAACTTTGCCACAGAAATATATTTGTCCTCAAAAAAATGAAGGGATCAAGAGCAATATTAAGTGACTGTTCTTTATTCAAGGGAGTGCTTCTTTTTTCAAGTGTAAGATGTTTAGTTTTGAAAGCCATAAAATTCATCTGTTAGCCCTTTTGGGCCCCTTCACAGACCCAAATGACAGATTTTCCTACCCTGTCGTATCCTTCAACGGTAAAATCCCCACCCTTTCATATACCTTAAGCCTAAAAATGGTACCCCTTTCAGGTGGAGCCTCCCCTGATAGGCCATTATAGAGAGTACCCCCTGGGCGTGGCATGCATCACAATGGGTGGGGCATATAAAGTCTCTATTTTCTTGGTGCTCTAGAGTACTTTTAAAAGTACGTATAAGTTCATGGTGAAGAAAATATTCCAAGAGGACTAATACTAATCCTCCATCCTCTCTCTTTTTTTCTTTTTCTTCAGAAACAACTTTATCACCTATTTACCAACAGAGCTGCTTAATTTACCCAGTCTTAAGACTTTAGAGGTGCAAGATAATCCCTTGGTTTCGCCTCCTCCAGCAATCGCAGAGAGAGGAAGAGAATCCATTTTAGCTTACCTTAGAAAGAGAAAAAGCAGAAGAAACATGTTTTCAGACTTCAAGCCATGGATCTCTCCAAATGATGACCTGGTCACTGTAGAGGTATCAACCCTGGTAGAGCTCTGTGTCAAGTAAGTATAGCTCTGCTTAGCCTGCGTGGTAGGTCTTTGAAGAGGGAGGGGAAAGGGGGGATCAGTTAAGGCATACAAGTACACAGGGGGTGTGTGGGAGATGATGTTAATTGAAAGAGGGATTTAGAGGAAGACGTTTCCTTCCCAACTTACTCCCACACCTATCGAGTACATAGAGTACACACAAGAGAGGGAGTTAGAGGGAGACATTCTGTTCCTACCTTCCTTCCTTGCCTCCTTGTTTCCTTATCGCGATCTCACGCACCTCTATTTCAGGTATTAATTCCCAGCTTGATTCTACCCAGTTTATGATGCTGATACACGGTTCGTTAAACAAAGGGAAATTGGAATTAATGGTGGACGAGGTCGTCCAGGTTCATCAAACTATTATGATGCAAAACAGTCGGCTTTTTTTTTTTCTCAAAATCAGTCAAGAACTCGGTAAAGCGTGGCGTAAGAGTCTTAAGCGCGCGAAGCGCGCAAGCCTCACACTCCCGTAGGGTGACGTGCCCGGTTACGTGTGAGGCGGGGAAAAAAAACATATTTTTAGCATCTCGCCCCAGTCTCGGTCTCTGTTTTCAGCTTCGTTCCAGACCTTTTGTTTGACTGCTCGCGCGTACTTGAATACGCAAAAATACGGACTGTTTTGCAGTCTATCAAACTGTTGGGTCTGAGCATCTGAGCATTTAAAAAAGTGCAGAAGTGTATGTAGAGTAGGGGCCCGAGGGTTCTGGGTCGCCGCCTCATTTTTAGGCCAAACTGCAGCCTGCAGAGCCAAGGAAAATTATTTTCAAATGTCGGGCCCCCCTTTTATTTTAGGGTCTGGATGGGCGGATCCCCTGCTTCCTTCAAGATGTGGAACCGCCATTGAAATTGTGGTGCTAATCAGGATGACCCACACCTCTCCTCTTAACAAGAAGGTGTTAATATCGTGGGGCGGGGGAGATTTTCTTAGTACTAAGTAGTGCGCGCGCGTGAACCAGCGTCATTTTGGTGGGAAAATGAAATTGACGGGTTTCAGCGCGAGTGTTGCACTCGTGACAGTAACAAGTCATCAAATGCTAGAAATTACACCATTCAATATAAATAACCGCGCTTGCAAGCGCTGTTTCTCGTGGAAAAAAAAATTACAATGAAGCTTTCCGGAGTGCCTACTCTAGCCTGCGTAGCAAGCGTTTCCTCGCGAGGTTCGTCTAGAAAGCTGGGGCAAGAGCAAAAAAAAAAATGAATGACGGGGAAGGGGGAGGGGAAAGAAGGAACCTCTTCTCCCCTCCCCCTCCCCCTTCAACCTTTTTTTTGCTTCCGCTCTACCTTTCGCGCAATAATTCGATTGGAAACGCTTGCTACGAAGGCTATGCCTACTCGAATCTAAAGGTCTCCATTACCACGAAGTACTGATGAAAAACTTAATGCTTTCTTACACAGATGCATCCTTGACTGCCAAATAGACTTTCTGGGTTCAAGGGAGATACCTCCGCGACTGAAGACAAATCTCGAAGAAACGAAAAAAGAGGATCGGAACTCTATTTTTATCTGTAAATGCGACGTATGTGAAATGTATTTCTCTAATAAGTTTAAATTTGAAATCCACGATTGTGGAAACAAATTATCGGTACCGTAAGGTTTCGAAAGAAACGACAGCTTTTATTTTGAGTTTTGAAATGTTGATGCATTCTAGTCTCCCTCACGGCCGTTTTGTCTTGTCACGCAAGCGTTGCGTGACAGACAAAGAAGACTAGATACGTTCAAGATTTGCTAACAACCATGATATTTTATACTTACTTAACGAGGTAGGGTAAGAGGGTCATTACTTTTGGAACTTAACGGCATGAGCTAAGATACACATAAATAACGACGCTGTCCTCCCTACCTTATAACACTGTGCCGCATAACCCGGATGAATGCTAGTACTGCGCCTGCCCCACCCCCACACCGCAAACACATGCACTGCAAGGACCTGGCAGGCTAAGTAACTCATTGAAAACTTCTCGCTCTAATTTATACTCTTCTTTTTCTTTTTTTATTTCTTAATTTCATGTAGTAAGAAAATAGAAAACATCAGAGAAAGCAAAAAGATACCAGTCGCATTCTGATTGGTTTAATTATTTTAAAAATTCTTCGATGTCTACACACAATCCGAATAAAAATATGACATTGATTAACTCAAAACACCATATATAGACATTTTATTTAAAAACATGACATTTTTCTAATAGTCTCTCGCCAGATGGAGTTAGTGTTCTTGCATCTTGTGACTTTGAAAGACCTGCAGAAATAGTCGGACAAGCCGTCAACGTTTGAACTGCTATTTAATGTGTAGTTTTCATAAAATAACAAACGGCTGCGCCTTGCCTTTGTGAGCTACAATCTTAGCTACATTTACTTACTTGCTCTACCCGCGTCACATAGCCTTGCTAAAAGTCGTGCACCAACCTGTACAGAACTGCACCAACATTCACCAAACTGCACCAACCTACGCCACACCATACCGAACTGTATCAAACTGGACCAACATGCCACAAATTACACCAAACTACACCAACTTGAACAAACCTGCATATGCATCCAACTGCACCAAACACCAGACTGCAACAACCTGCACTAAACTACACTAAACTACACCAACCTGCACCAAACTGCAACAAGCTTCTCCAAACTGCACCAACTACACCAAACTGTACCTTCACCAACTGCCCCAACCTGCACTAAACTGCATCAACCTACCTCAAACTACAACAGCCTGAACCAAGGTGCACCGAATTGCTCCAACCTACATTAGCCTGCGTCACACTACACCAACACGCACCAAATTGCACAAACCTGCACCAAGCTACGCGATAGTAACTACGTCAAACTACACCCGCTACATCAAACTACACTAATAATATAAATTTTGACTGGGCATGAATTGTTTTATATTCGTGACGGTTATTATAAATCTTTTACCTTAAAAATCTGCGATAACAAATGAAGGTTTTGTTGCTTGTTGTTGTATTATATTGGAAGGAGTTGACCGTCGGGTAGTTCAGCGACGTTATAGGATTCTGATACATACCTACAATAACGCTCTAGTACTTGTGTGATTCTGTGCCTCCATGACCAAATCCCCCCGGACCGAACTCAGATGCGTAGCAAGGGTTATGACAGTAGGGCTCACCTTTTCGCTAAAATAGAGCAAATATAGCAAACATCTAATAAACTAACCTGTAACAGTTACCTTGATCCTTTTATAAGGTGGTTACAGTTGTTGAATTTTACACCTATCTGCTATTGGTATAAATTGCTTGACATAATTCTCTGCGAGAGTTATCTCATAGAATAGTTAAACTGAGTAGAATTTGCTGTACTCCCAACTGTTCGCAGTAATTCTAGAACCACTCGATCGTAACTGGAAATATAATAAAGTTCGTTCGGCCGCCAAAGTGTAAGGTCGAGTAAGGGCATTTACCATTAGTAAGAACTGGCCGGCCAAACCAGATAAGATCTGTCCAGCCAGATTATTTTATTTCTAAAGCTACGTGCAAACAAACGCAACAATGTGGGAAGTTGTTGCGTCCGTGTTGGCAGAGGTGTGTAAACTGCGCGTGTATGGCCCCAACAATGTTGAAATAGCTAAGCAATCGGATCCAACATTGTTTTTCTGTACGCTTCGGCGGTCACGGAATAAATGTGTTGGGAGTTGTACGTTGGCTTAAAAGTTTGACCTTAACTTTGCGCAGCAACGTGCAACAGGATTTGCAAACAGACACAACATGTAACATCCAACAATGTTGCGTCCGTTTGCATCTGCTTAAATAGTATGCATAACAATGTTGAGTGTTGAAAAAACTCTGGAAAAAAAGTGTTTCATATATTTTCAAGACGACCTGTCTGGCCGGCCAGTTCTAACTACCATGTAACATTTTTTGTAAGTAAGAGCCTCTAAAGTGTGAAATTTTCTACCAGGTGAGCGCCATTTAAATGAGTCAAGTTCACCTACTACACTCATAGACCTCATAATTCTCAAAGAGAATTCCGAATTCTTTAAGAAAATTTGCAGAAGAGAAAGAAATTAAAAATTTCTGCCCAAAAACAATTTGAAACGAAACAGAGAACAAGTCGGTGGACCGATTACTAGCCCCGTCTACTGCCCGGGGGAATGCTTATCGTAATTTTAAAGAAAGCAGAAGACGAAAACAAGAAGGGGTTAAACGTTCAAGGACAACTTCTTTCAGCGAAGTTTAAAAGCTCTCCTTTGGCTGTTTGTTTTACAATGGTCTCCTTAAGAGGTCTGATTAGTCCAAGTTTTCGATGAGTATCCCTAACCCACTTTGCACGGGAGTCCTCGCCCGGGGGAGGCTACTGTCACAGTTCATGGAAATCAGGCTCCTGTTGTCAGTATAGGCTTCTGTGAAAATCATATTTGGGGTCCGAGCTACATCACTGTTAAAAGCAAAGGATGTTAAAATTTTTTTCTGCGATGTAACAGCTGTTTGGAGACGACACTTAACAACACTATAGAAACTTCCTTTTAGCGCTGTCAAATTTCGTAGGAAACAAGGCCTTACGAACCACCCAGTGTGAACAAGTCACTTGGTATCGTTATCAGCTTTTTTTTTTTGTCTTTCTGTTTGTTTGTTTGTTTTTGTTTAGTTTTAAATTGCGTTCAGGAACAAGAGCCACGGAATAACACAAACCTAAAATAAAACGAATCACTTATTCAGCCGTTTGTAAAGATCAGTCAATAGAAGATTGTAATTTGACGAATTGAAAAATTCGAACGTTCCACTTTTTATGATGTCAGATTCGAGTCACGCTACTTATTCTCGAACTACATTAGCCAGTGTATATATTAAAACACCATCGCTCACGACATGTACACGTTCCATGAACTTTAGACGTTAATTCGAATTAAAAGTGCAAAAATTAAAAAGCTTACTTCCGCGTGGTTGCCGACTGCCAGTTGCCGTCCACATTTTCTGCACTTAAGACACAAGGGATGGTACCAATTTCCAAGCGATTCTTTCTTTTCACCTGTCAGAATAACACGAGGATGACAGATCGAATCCATTCCTTTGATTTTCTCAATATACAAGGACATAAAACACCTAAGGGACAATCGCTGGACAACATGAAACAAGAAAGCAACAACTGAATCATCCGTCAATTAGAAAAGCAAACTTCGTACCAAGTTTTCAGTGTACCTTATGGATCTTATGTAAAAAATA